AAGCAGGGATTAACACCAGACAAACAATCAAGCAGAAAACAATACCCTAATCAAGGAATTACCAAGGAGAAAACCACCCACCACCCACACTGGCAGGGCAAGCCACTGTATATAAACAGGGGGCAAACCCCACACTCATTCACACTGATGATGTTACCTAGTTGGGTAATGAAACGTCTGCAAGCAAACAATCAAGCTCAGAGAGCACCAAGAACTCCACTGAAAATAAATTCCCAGAGGAAACTTTTTTTGCTATGAATGTCCTTCATGCACGAGTTTCCTTATGTGAGCTTTTTAAATGCAACTACCCCCTTTTTAATCTTCCACAAACTAACTTCCTCCCTCCCTCCCTCCCTCCCTCTGAGAAGATTCTAGGGCAGACCATAAAGGGATTGGGTGCAATTTAGTTGCATCAACAGAAAGAGAGTTTTCAAATCACTGGAAGAAATGGTTGCATTTTATTTTGAACTGATAAGATCCTATGTCAATACTGTGTTCAGTTCTGGGCACTTCCCTTTAAAGGTTCAGTGAAGAGTAACTAGGATGACCAGGGACTAGAAACTTAAGTCCTATAAAGAGTGGTAGAAAGAGCTGGGAAGTTTATCTCTGAGAAGACTTGGGGTGGGGGCATTACAGCATTCTTGAAATAATTGAAAAAATGTCTCACAGAAGAAGGTCAGATTTCATGCTCTCTCATTTCAGGGTGCAGGAGTTGGAATAATGAATTGAAGTCACAGAATGTAATGTTACAAAAAGACTCCTCATGGTCAAAGCACTCGGCAGTGGAACCAATTTCCCCGAGAGCTGACGGGCTCCCCTTTCCTGGATGAGTACAAGAAGAGGCCAGACAGCCTTTGTAATGGTATGTGGGAAAGACCTTGAGAGACAGCGGGAAGAGATGCTGCCTAGGGAATGGTCAGATAAGAGGGAGCATAGCCCTCAGCTGCATAGTGGGTAGAGCAAGAGGCTCAAGAGGGACCCTCTCTAGTTTCTTGGGCTGTAAAGGAGACAGCGGGAGAACTGTACTTTCAGACTTGCAAGATTCTGTCAAGGTAGCCTTATAATGAAGTAGAATTAGCTCATCTGGTTGTGTTTCCTGTCTGGTGTACCTGGGAAGGCTGTCAGTGGGATTTCTCCTCTGAGCCAGGGCTGGGCTTGATGGCCTCAAGGTACCCTCAGAT